TCTCTCTCTCTCTCTCTCTCTCTCTCTCTCTCTCTCTCTCTCGTAGTCCGCAGATACTGAGAAGTCAGGTAGTGAGAGGGTGAAGAAGAGATGGTAAACTTAGAAGAGGAAGAAGAAGAACTCTTGCTCTCTCTCTGTCCGGTACTAACCTGTGAAGTTGGCGCCTTGATGCAGGTACCTCGAAGATGGAGCTGGAGCTATAGCGCCACACGTAAGTCTCACTGGCCTCCGCCAGCCATCTCTCTCCAACACTACTACTACTACTACTAGCGCCCTGCGCTGAAGACTACTCCTGCAACTACTACTGCTAGCGCTAACGCTACTCCTGCAGCGGTCCTCCAGAGTGCTGCTGTCGAATCCTGAAGACTGCCTCCTGCCTTCTGCTTGGACTGCACGTGAAGTGCCTGGCCAGTCCCTATGAACTACTCCCTTCCTGTAGGGCGGGCCAGTCTTATATAGTGCTGGCCCGTCCAGGAGGCTGCTCTTGCCAATGCCCAAACGTGCTAGACCCTGAGGAAGCTTCCGGGAGGCCGCTCTTGCCAATGCCAGAACGTGCTAGCCCCTGAGGAAGCTTCCGGGTAGTTTCCAGGTAGCTTCTGGCTAAAGACTGAGGGCCTATAGGCCCTTGTTTTCAGGCTGTCAGGCTGAACCGACCCAGGGCCTGTAGGCCCTCGTTTTCAGGCTGTCAGTCTGACACGACACAGCGCCTGTAGGCCCTTGTTTTCAGGCTGTCAGGCTGAAACGACACAGGGCCTTGTAGGCCCTTATTTTCAGGCTGTCAGGCTGAACCGACACAGGGCCTGTAAGCCCTCGTTTTCAGGCTTTTAGGCTGAAAGCGACACGGCCTGTAGGCCCTCGTTTTCAGGCTTTTAGGCTGAGAACGCTGGTCGGGCCCTGCAGGCCCGTGTGGCTGCACAGTATGCCACACTGTCTGAACCCAGGAAGATGAGTATGCCCTTGTGATTGACCTGCTATTTTTTAGGACAATCTGGTCGTTGGCCCATCACAAGGTCGTGATCAATGTTTGGTGGTCTTTTCAGCAAATTCGAGGTATGATCTTTATCTCTGAAAGGAAGATGAGCAATAGCGAACTTCAGCAATCAAACAGCATCATACATATGAGTCCAGATAGTCGTGACCTCGAACCAACAGCAGAATTGCATC